ACCACTGAGCCACAAGCCCAGCCCCTGCATAAGATTCTTGAGAACTGTCTTCCAATATGAAGTTCAAGTTCAAACATTATCGGGAATCCCTTCATGGCTCTCAATCTCACCATTCAAGACAATGACTCTGTTTGGGATTATTTTGGTTCAAACTCTCCTCTTTTAGCAGCAATGATCACCACTTCCCTTCGTGCTTCTTTGAAGATAGGATCCTGTTACCCTGAACCCCGTGGGCAGCATCCCGTGGGAGGGAGGAGCCCGACAGGTGTCTCCAGGTGGAGGTTCTAAAGGCCTCCTCAACCACTGAGTCTCTCCTAGACACGAGGTGCCCTTCAAGCAGCAGCCAGTCTTCCCTCCCCGACCAGGAGCGGGAAGCTTCTCCAGTGTCCTGGCGAATCCCCTTTGTGCTCCTCATCCCCTTTCATCCAAGTCGTGTGTGAGGGTGCATCTGGCTGATTTCCAGGTAGGTCGGGAACTCCCCAGGGGTGGTATCGCAGCCGGTAGCCTAGCACCCAGCACAGAGCAGGTATTCAGTAAATATTGTCTTAAATGAAGGTGAAGATGGTAATTTATTCTTTCCCAATAGGCACACTTCCTCCTGTATGTATTCATTAAGCCACAGTGTGAATGACAAGTCTAGGGACAAAGAGAGCCCACTCAGGAAACAATCTGTTCACAGGTGGGAAGAACTGGCAAGGGTCGCACTGCAACTGCCTGTCCCTGTTACTGTGGGAGTTAGTTCCTCTTTCCCCGTGCTTGACTACAAGGGGCATCTTGCAGAGCCTGTGGGGCCAATGAGGTTCTTTGTGGTTGCCCTGGGATGACAGAGTTCCCTTCCACAGCCACCAATTCAGGAAGTCCATTGGCATTCCTGCCAGAGTGCCCTTTCCACCAGGGGTTTTGGCAAGATTGAGAGTTGGTCTCACAATTGACGGGGGTGCGTGCTAATAGTCAGAGACAAATGGAATGGGGGGCGAGGCGGACACTTGCATCTTGTTGGATAAACCATTTGAAGAACTCGCTGGGGAGAAGGGGGTGAGACCTGAAGAATGAAAACCATGTGGACTTGGGGACCCTGCAGGCTCGTGGTGGATGTGAAGGGACGAGTTGAGAATGGCAAGAGGAAGTCCAAGAAAGCAAAGAACAGAGCCAGCGTGAGGAAGCTGGAGGGGCAGACTCTAGAGGGAAGTGACTTGGATTTTCCACCGAAGGTTAAAAACACAAGAGGGAAATTGCTCTCACCAGCTTTGCTCCTGGAACCCATCCTCTCACTTCCTGATCCATGTCTCCCCTCCCTGTCTCACTTTCTGGATGAACAGTGCCTCGATGGTGACCAGCGTCCTCACGGTGTAGTTGAAGCACCATCCACCTTGCAGGCAGGAGTCGGGTCCTAGACAGATTCTTGGAAAGGATTATGGAGTGACTGTCTTTCCTGGCCCAATGGAGCAGACACATGTTGTACCCACTGCCCACAGGGCCTGCAGACAAGCCAGGGAAGCAGCATGGCCCACACTGATGGGCAGTGCACCCTCATTGGTATAGCTCATGGGGAGATCTCACCACCTCACACCAGCCAGACCCGGCCAGGTGTTATGAATATGGCTTTTTAAGTACAGAATCTTGGGTCAGGCACACTCCAGTGGACTGAAGCTCAAGCCTTCCCACAGTTTTGGGTTCAGGAAGCTCAGGTTCAATAGATTAGGAAGGTGACTCTTGGCATGGACTGAGAGTGGATTTTCTCACCTCTCCTGGAGCTCAGCTGAGCTGCAAAGAGCTGAGCTGCAAAGAGCTGAGCTGCCAAGCCTTGGAGTGGTTGATGGGGACAGTAAGCCAAAATGTTGGCAGTGGTCAAGATTTTCATCTTTTCCTGGAGGATAACTGGGAGCAGTGATCAGGTGGACCAGCAAAGGTGATGGAGTCAAAAGTTTCTATCTGGAGGAGCATGGGGTGGAGACAGGGCTGGAAGTGGACGTCACTGGACACTGAGCCAGAAGGGGAAGATCTTCAAGCTCCATCCACTCCCCACTGTTAAGTGCACAGACAGTTGAACTTTTATGCAATGACCTTCCCCTCTCCATGGTAAGATTCACTTCACCTAATTTTTAAAAATTGATATAAATTGATTCACGCCGTATTCACCTGTTTTGCGGCTGCTTGTTCCCCAGTGCTATGACTGAGCTTCTTCTTCATGTTGCCCTATGGAATTGCACTGTGTGAGTGTGGCTGATTGATCCCGTGTGCTGTGGATGGACTTCTGAGCTGTTTCCAGTTAGGGACTAGTATGAGTGATGTTCCTCTGAACATTTCCTCTGGGTGTCTCTTGTGCACACACGTCCCCATTACTGACATGTCCATACCTATTACTCAGGTGATGCTGGACACGTGCAGGTGAAGCCTGGGGAGCTGCTACAAGAGCCAGGGGTCAAATCCCTGTGACAAGTGGCACTTCCACCAAGAACCACCAAGCAAAAGAGGAGAGGCTCTACAAATATCAATATCAGCAATGACAAAGGTAATAGGTGAAGGGATCCTACACACATTAAAGTGATGATAAAGATATTGCAGGAAATGTATACACTAGAAATAATTTCAATATTCAAAATTTGAAAATTTAGAGAGACAAAACTGAAAATTCTTAGAAAAGATCATCAAACACAAAATATGGGATGCAAGGAATGGAAAATCTGAGTAGTTATATATTTAATAAAGGAAACTTCAGCTTTACATAACTTTACCAGTTAATTCTTCCAAACATTTAAGAAAGAAATATCAACAATCTTATATAAGCCCTTCCAGAAAATAACAAAGAGGAGCAAGCAAACCTACTCGCTTTAGAAAAGCCATAGGTCTTTATATCAAAGAACATGGCAAAAGTAAAATCATAATTCCTCTGATTATAAATCTAAAACCCATATTGAATATTAGCAACTAAACACTAATGATATATTAAAAATTAAAGTTTAAAACACTGCAGCAAAATTTGGTAGAAATGGTGAGTTAGTTTAGCTTGAGAATTTATAATTCTGAAGTCCTCAAAATTATCAGAAAAGAGGGAGAAAACATATTTCACCTCAGTAGTTCAGAAAAATATTTATTAAAAATATTTTCTAATAAAACTGCTAGCATTCTGAAAAGAGAAGAAAATTTCCTTAACTCTGTAAAGTTTATCTGCAACAAGCTGCAAGGCACATCCGTTCTACGTGGTGACGTGCTGAAAGCTTTGTTCCCTGCGCCAGGAAAGGACGAGAGGCCCTCCAACTCCGCATCCAGGGGAGTGTCAATCTTCACCGTTCCAGACCCCTGACCAAGGAATGGAAATATTTAGACATAGCCAAAGAAGGGGGGCTTCTATTTCATTGTTCAAATATGTCATGATATTTTATTTTAAAAGTCTAAAAGAATCTACAGTAAAAGTTTTAAAACTAATAGATAAATCTAACCAGGCTGTTTGGTACCATAATAGCAAAGATGATTAGAAAATGAAAATGTACAGTGATATTACACACAATGTTTTCAAAAATATCAAAACATAAGACTTCACAAAGAAAATCACAAGTTAGTACTGAAAAAAAATAAAGAAAATTTAAAGATTGAAGTATTGGAATATTCAATATAGTAGGATGTCAGTTCTCTCTAAAATGATTGAAGAATTTTATGCAATTTCAATTAAAATCCAATGAAGTATGTATTTTGTTATTTATTTGGTTTGTTGAAATTTGGATTAAGTGTGTATAAATTTTATAGATCAGTTTGGAGTTAATTAATATCCTGACAATACTGAATTTCTACTGTGTGTAAATGGTTTATATCTTCTTTTATTTAGATCTTAATTTCTCTCAGCAAGATTTTTTGGAGATTTTGGGTTGTAATTCTTTCATGTATTCTGCTAAATTAAAACCTAGTTAACTTCATGATTTCCTATTTTCTTCCAAAATGTTGTATGTTTCATGTTCTAAATGTGGGTCGACGAATATGAAATATTAAATTAACAACAAAATTACCAGACTTAATTAATGAAGACGTGCTATCATACCTGAGAAGAACTGCTAATAATTTTTTTGTAATTAGCAATAAATACCTCAAAAATTAATTACATAAAACTTGAAATTACTATTGTTGCAATTACTGCTATTTAGAAAACAATGACCAAGCCTAAAACCTGCATGTGGCAGAACGAGTTGTAAAATAACTTGCAAAACCGCTTCACAATAATTAGATCTACAAAACTGAACTTGATGGAAAAGTGGCCCAAAACAATAAATCTCATCGGCAGAAGGTAAGATTTCATGTGTATAATAAGTTATTGGTGAATCAATTTGTCAATATAACATTTTCATGAAATAAAATGTATCAGAGTAAGAATGATTTTACTGAAAAATGCCTGTGGTTTTTCTAAAGCCAATGTACATTTGGATGAGTTAATAAGCTGCTGAAGGCCCGGGAGGCAGGCCCCAGGAGCGGCTTCGTCCATGAGCCCTCTTCCTTGCTGGTGAGAGTGGCCGAATGTGTTACCCGGACACCAAGTGCAGGCATTCCTGGGACTGAACCAGGGGCTGGGACTCTTCATCACCCTCTGGCCACCACTGCTGGCTCCTGATGAAGGACCCGCAGCCTCGAGGGTGGGTGGACACCGGGTAGACACCAGACCCTGTTCCACAATGGGGAAATAAAGTTACAACCTGGCCTCCGATGAGGGCAGTGGAGTTCGTGTTGGTTAACTGGGATGTGGAGCAGAGGGGAAATCAGAAGAACAGGAAAGGTCTGTTCCAGGAGGAGGTCTAAAGAGAGCAGGCTTGGGACAGATGATTAATGACCTCATCAATGACCACGGCCAAGCCTGGAAACCCCCCACCACGGGCCCCCTGGGGGCGGGCGCTGGCCATTACAGCCACAGGGACAGCAGCTTTCTTGGTTAATTCAGTGTTCGCAGGAGCTCTGATCCCTGCTGATGTGTTCATTAGCTCTTCCAGGCACAGGCTGAGGGCGGCTTCTTCACTCAGCAGGGAGAAGCGTGTCCTGGAGCTGCACAGCCCCTGTGTGCGCAAGGCCACGCACCTAAGGCTTGGAAGAGACTCGCGGGAGGGCAGGCTGCCCTGAACAGACCTTCTAAAACCCACACTGCTTTACAGAGGAGGAAGCTAAGACCCCAAAAGGTGGCTCCTCTAAGGCCCCACAGCCCACAGGTGGAAGAGAGAGGGCAGGAGCCCGGAGCCCGGGCCACCGAGCCCAGGCCCAAAGCGTCTCCTCCCTCCTCTTTGCCACCCCTGGGCTGGGAATCCTAGGGCAGTGCAGGAGTTCCTGCCCCAGTTCTGCATTGGCTTGGGCTGAGCACACAATGACACGCACACCCAACACAAGCATTCGCACACTTTCTCTAACACACACTACGTTGTGTTAAATATGGAGATGCTGCAAAGGTCGTTATGATACAAAATTGGTTCAATGTGTCCCTGGATTTCTATCTTTTATCATAGCACATTTCCTCAAATAGTGTTTATTAAAATAAAGGACAATCAACAACTAAAAACATTTTTTTAAAAAATGTACAATCATCTCTGATTAAAATTATCAAAGGGATTTTGCTGAAATCCACAACTGCTTACCTGTGCTGCATTCCTGTGCTGACTCACTGCTAACCTTCAACTCTAAAAGAAACAGGTCAAATTTAGGTGAAATGCAAGAACATTCAAAAATCGCATCGTTTCCCCCAGTCCAAGATAATTAGAAAGTCCTCACTCAACAGCCTATCTGCATGGTAAGTAGTGAACACTTACACTTTCTCCTGAAAGGCAATGATTGCCACATTGACTTGCTCTGCTGGTGCTGGCAGGTACCTGTGAATCACCATGTAAATGCACACAGGATGTGCAGGAGAAAGCCTCCATTCCATTAAGGGGGAAATCTGGAACTCTAAACCATTCCCATCTTTGTTCACGCCACAAATTACTTTAAATGCATCTTTAAAATGCAGCAAAGAAACAAAGTCACAGATGTTTTAATTATTTCCTTCTTAGAACTGACTGTCTTCCAGTATCCATAGAGGAGTTGATGAGTCCAGACAGAATATCATCTTTCATTGCAACAGGCCACATTTGATGCAAGTGCACCAGAAGATCCTCGGGCTCTTTTCAATATCCTCTGATGTAAGATCTGCAGTCTTACATCAGTGGATATTGTATTCTAGCTGAGACCATCTTCAGACAGACAGGTTTACAGATGGGAAGGTAACATTTAAATCAGCCAGGAACCATAGCCAAGAACCCTCTGCTGTGTCTTACATAGAATGTAAACTGCTTCTGAGTAGGGACCAACCAGACCGAGGTCAGCAGGTCATGCACCCTAATGATCCAGCAGTGTGGAGCTATTTGATGAACTAATAAGTATTCTAAGTCACAAGAATTCCTGTAGTTCATTGTTCCCCCACGGACCTAATTTCATAAACCGTTTCAGTCAACTTTCTCATCAAAGACCTGACAAGAGCAACTTAAGGGAACAAAGTTTATTTGGAGGCTCAAGGTTTCAGAGGTCTCAGTCCATAGGGGGCCAACTCCATCTGGGCCTGACGTGAGCAGAACATCATAGCAGAAAGATGTGGCAGAGAACAGCAGCTCAGGACGTGGCAACAAGGAAGCCGAGAGCTCCCCTTACCAGAGACAAAATATAATGGGAACAGCAGGCTCTCCCACTGAGGGGTAACCGGGGAGGGTGGAGTCCCTTCATCCACCAGCGCCTGGTCTCCCTCTAGCGCCCCCTATTGGCAGAGCCTAAGAGGGAACAACTGGCCAAGCAGATGGGCAGTTTGCAGAGCCCACCCACCCTCAGCACCACGCACTGGCCCAGTGGTGTGAGCTATGAGGTGGTGCTTAGTACACAGCTCTCTGAGATCCGTAAGACCTCAGCGTGCAGCATGTGGCAAGGCTGGGATTTTACCTGGGTGGCTGTACCTCTCAACTCAGTGCTTTTCCTTTATTCAATTTCCCTTGAAACAGATATTAAGAAATAGGTGAATGCATACTCCTTTCATTCTTGAAACCATCACGATCTAAGAACCAGTCCTGGAAAAATATGGGTCTAATTAGATAACATTGGAACTTAAGAGTCAGTTGCGCTCTGTGTCAGTCAAGACTGCGTCTCTCTAACCAAAATACCCCACAAGGTCAATTTGGAAGAGGAAGATTTCTTTGGCTCACGGTTTCAGAGGATTCAGTCCGTGGTCAGTCATCTCCAAGGCAGAAATATCATGGCAGAAGGGTGTGGCCAAGGGAAATGGCTAGACTCCTGGCAACCAAGAAGCCCTGAGAGAGAGGAACAAGATCAGCTCTTCCAGGGCACGTCCCCAGTGACCCACTGCCTCCAGTGAGCTCCCCCCACCCAGCAGTCCTGTTCCTCATCAAGTGGATTTTTCCACTGACGAGGTCAGAGTCCTTATGATCCAATCATTGCCCTAAGCCCCTCCTCTGAATCTTGCTGGTTTGGGGGACCATGTCTTCAACACACGAGCTCTTAGGGGGACCTTCCAACACGTTCTCTTACACAGTTGACCTTCAGCCTGAGGAACCTGGCTAGAAAGCTCCTGGCCCTTAAAATGAAAAGGGAAACACAAGGTCCCAAAGCCTAGTAAATCGAATTAGTTTCTTCAATCAAATAAAGATGAGAAACAATTGGATTTAGGTTTGCAATATGTGAAATTAATTTAATAAACCTAGAAGCAGATGAAATGTTGGTGTGATAAGAAACCAACAGAAAGTCCTTTGGTGAGGAGCGAGGGGAGCCGGCATTCTGCAGAGGCTGTGGGTTTCTTCACGTCAGCAGTACACGCGTCTTCCCTGGGCTGCCACACCTTCGCTCCATCCGCAGAGAGTTCTTGCAATACTGAAGCTGAGTGTTTGTAAATCAACTCGCACTCTGCTTACACCTGTTCTGTCTCCAGGCTGCTCTGCTTGGTAATGATCCACCTCCCAGTCACACCAGTGTTGATGGCCCCTGTGAGCAAGAGACCCGTGTTCACTCTCTGTTGCCGACGGTCCCACAGCAGAACCTTCCGGTCACTGCCCACTCTCTGTTTTCTACACCTCATGCGATTTCCTTTCTAATTTTGCAGGATGGTAGCAAAGTCCGTCACTCAATTGTGTGGCAACTGAAAAGATGGGAACAACCAAAGCCTTCGCACAGGCAGGGAGCAGAGGTGCCTGGCCACTCAGCCTGCTGGACAAGGCGCCATGGACTGGCAGCTCAGCAGAACAGACACTTCTCACGGTCCTGCAGGGTAGAAGTCCACAGCACAGCCGCCGCTGTGTCTGGTGAGAGCCGTTTCCTATCATAGATGGCGCCTTTTTGCTCTGTCCTCACCTGGTGGGAGGGGCAAGGCGACGCTCTGGGGCTTCTCCCAGAAGGTCCCTGCTTTTCTTCTGATGTTGTAACACAGCACCTGAGACAAGGTATTTATAAAGAAAAGAGGCTTCGTTAGCTCACGGTTCTGGTGGCTGGGGAGTTGATCAGGTGGTCCCATTTGGGGGGAGCCTGGTGCTGTCTTCTCCTGGTGGAGAAGCGTGTGAAGAGTGAGCGTGTGAGGGTGGGCTTCCTTTTAACAGCCCACGCCACCAGTAACCAATCCAGTCCTGCAGGAACAAGAGCTCACTCACAGGAGGTAGGGCCGGCCATCCACAAGGCTCCGCCCACCACCCAGCTCCCTGCCCCAACACCCTGCATCCAACACTGCTGCACTGAGGAGTGAATCTCAGCATGAGTTTCGGTGGGAACAATCCATACTCAAACCATTTCAGACACTAATCTCGGTCAGAGGGGCTATGCCTTTGTCATTCAGTTGTCCTCTGAGGCCCGCCTCCTAGTGAGCCGTACTGGGTAGGGCTTCAGCTCTCTGGCATTCAGGAGGTACACATATTCAGTCCATGAGAGAGACATTAACTGGGCCAGAGGGAGGAGGGCCTTTGTTTGGTTTCCTGCCCTCTGAATAGTCACCCCTTGCTCCTGACTTTCTGCAGAATGCACAACTCCTGCTTTGTTAGGGTCTGTAAACAAGTCAGGATGGCGCCTGGCATTTTGCCAGAGGGAGTGGTTTGTGAAGTAACGCACCAGTGAGCCATTAAGTGTGGAGATTCCTTATTGGTTGACTGCTGTATCTAGTTTATGTTAATTAGATAAGCTGTGTGGAATGTATATAGACCCCTCCTGTCCTACAATAAATGGCTCCCACTCCTGCTGTATCAATGTACACAAGTTGCTCCTCACCCCCCGGTTATTTTGCCGCAGCCAGACTGCG